CTAGCTAGCGGAATTCCTAGTAATCTTATTACAGCACGAAACACTGCAAAAACGCATGATCGCACGGGGCTCCCCCAGTGCGCGTCGCCAATGATTTTTCATTTCATGCTGCTCCCCTCTTCCGCGTCGTAAAACATACATTTTGTCTTTTTTCGTGCGCAGCTGTGTATTTACTGCAGTATCACCGACTAATCAGACTGCCAGTGGTCTGCATCGCACAAGCCATGCCTGAGAAAATACAGCATGACATCTTGCCCACGCGTCATACTCGGAGCTACCAAAGCTTTGCGCTGGAGAGTGAACTGACACTGCCTAATCTGCTACCATCATCACGCCACAGTGAAGTGCCTGGACCAAAGATCTGTGAAAATAAGTGCAAAAAGTGACAGGTGTTCTTCCCGCAGGATATGAGAAAAGAAAATTTTACTTAACTCGGAGTAAACGAAAAAGGATTCTCAGCTGGAAAAGCTTTTATGTTTTATGGTGGTTATTCAGATGTTCATAACAAATCAAAAAAAAATGCCTGAGCTTTCTTGGGAGTAAGGACAGCAATCGCAGCGACAAGAGATCCTGCAGATGTACCTGCACATCGCTTCACACGATTCATCAACGCCTGGAAAAACGCCATAGTTTCGAAAGAAAAATTTGCATTCTTCGAAATTTTCTGATCTGCAAATCTAGTTTTTATGCGTTTTGTGCTGTACAACAGCAGTACGAAACACATATTGCTGCAGGGTTGTTTGTGTGTATATTCGCAGCAACTTGTCCACAAGTTCCAACTCGGGAACCACAAAAGCTAGGAAGCTGAAAATTTAGGGGGATGTGATCCCCGCAAATTCTCGTACCCACAGGTAACACGTACAGCCCCATAAGGGTTTTGGCGAAGAAAATTATTATCTCGGGAACTACGAAAGCAAGGAAACTAAAATCTTATCGGTATGTCCGCGCCCACGTGCGACCCAAAAAATTTAATTTCAGCTTTCCCGTAATACGCACGGCCCCGCAAAAGTTTTGGCGAGGAAATTTATTATCTCAGAGACCAAGGAAGCTGAGATTTTATGGATATTTCCGCTGCCCACTTGCGATCCAGAAAATTTAAACTCTGTCTTCCCGTGCCCGCGGGTAACATATATGGCCCCGTAAAACTTTGGACGGGTAAATTATTGTTTCGAAAAACATGCGATCTAGGAAGCCGAAATTTTATGGATATTCTTCCAGCCCACGTACGACCCTTCAAATTTAAATTTAACCCTTCCCGCGCCCGCGGGTAACATATACGGTCCCGTGAAAGTTTTGACGAGTAAATTATTATCTCGGGAACCATGGGGTCTAGGAAGCTGAAATTTTAGCATAGCGTCCTCTGCCTACGTACAGCTCCGCAAATTCTTATCGACCCCTTGAAAGTTTTGGTGGAAAAAATCATGATCTCGGGAGTTAGAAGGCTTTAAATTCACCCTTTTTTTTACCCTTCGACGTTTCAAATTCAGCTTTCGCGTGCTGCTATGTGAAATTTTTAGTGGGAAATTCCGCAACTTTTTAACTGTTTTTGCGCAGATCAAAGTGCAAAGCAATGAAAATCATTAGCAGGCAATAATTCGATGGGCGGAACTGCACAAAACGCATGATCGCACCGGCTGCCCTGGTGCGCGTCGCTATTTTCCTTTCTCTACCATCACATATAACTTTATAATAAGCTTTTTATATGGCAATCTTTTCCCACTGCTTACCCTAATTTAAACTTCGTTTACTCGTTATTACTCCTTTTCACCGATATATTTTTACGTAGGACAAAAAAAGAAGTGTCAACAAAAATAAAAAAACAAAAAAAAAA